TAACCCTTTGTTTTGTTTCTTTGAAGCAAATGGTTATGAGCCTTCGAGTGTCGGAGCTGCAGGTGCTGCTGGGCTACGCGGGCAGGAACAAGCACGGCCGCAAACACGAACTGCTGACCAAAGCCCTGCACCTGCTGAAGGCTGGCTGCAGCCCCGCCGTCCAGATGAAAATCAAAGAACTCTATAGGAGGAGGTTCCCCCAGAAAATCATGACCCCGGCAGACCTGTCCATCTCCAGCGTGCACTCCAGCTCCATGCCGGCCACGCTGTCGCCCTCCACCATTCCACAGCTGGGCTACGACGGCCACCCCGCCACGTCCCCCCTGCTCCCCGTCTCGCTGCTGGGACCCAAACACGAACTGGAACTGCCCCACCTCACCTCGGCCCTGCACCCCGTGCACCCCGACATCAAGCTGCAGAAACTCCCTTTTTACGACTTGTTGGACGAGCTGATCAAACCTACCAGCCTAGGTAAGGAGAGCTCCCGCAGCCTCGTGTTTTTTTGGGGGGGGGAAACGGTCACATTTCAGCTGCTGCTGTCAGCAAGGGGTTAAATATTGCATCACAGCAGTGTTTAGAGAATTGCTATTTTTGGGAACTTTTGGAACAGATTGTTCTGCATGGAGAAACATCTTACCTAACACTCATTAGTTGCTTTAGCTGAGCCTCTAAATATGGTTTAAACATCCGTTATTTTTAAGGGGGGGCTTTGAGAAAAAAAAAACAAACTAAATCTTAAAAAAAAAAAAAACCAGTCTGCTTTCAGTAGTTCTATAAACCACAGGGCTTCACTATTAAAAAAAACAACAAACCCAAAGCAAACAGAGCTATCCCCAAATCCGCCAGGCTTCTAGAATGTTCTCATCCATGCTGGAAGGACTGCCAGGCTGGAAATTTGCTGGATCCATTACAGTGTGAGCATCTGAATTTAGGGTTCTTTTGCAGCTGTGGCTACTTTCCTTGCAAGCTGATTTTTGTGTGAAGGTGTAAATCACTGGTGGAGCTGCTGAGGAGAATCTGGTGCTCCCAGAGATATAATGTTGATTTTCCTGGCTCCACAGCAAGGATAACTCCTAATACCCTTCACTATTGCCTAGATGCAGCAGACATTTAGGTTATTTCGGTGTGGTGGAACCTTCTGCTGGCTCGAAAACCCCAGGAAAAATTCCCTGCTGGTGGGAGGAGCAGATTGGTGAGAGGAGATCTGGGGAGAGAGGGTGGGTGAGTGAGAAAAAAAAAGTCCTTTGCAGAAGAAATCCCTTGTAAACAAAGCTGAGCAGGTACCTCCAGTGACAGTCTGGGGGTGTGGGAGGCTGATGTGTGACTGCTGAGGTTGGCTCTGCATTCCTGAAGGGTCTGGCACAGTGTTTTGCATATTTTTTTGGTTTAGCTGCTGTAATTGAGGGAAAACCAGATTTTTGTAATATTATTTTCAGGTGTTTTTTCCACCTGATGTGTGAGTGCTGAGGTTGGCTCTGCATTCTTGAAGGCTCTGACACAGTATTTTACATTTTTTTTGGTTTAGCTGCTGTAATTGAGGGAAAAGCAGAGAGATTTTGGTAATTAGATTTTCTTTTTCAGGTGTTTTTTCCACCTGATGTGTGAGTGCTGAGGTTGGCTCTCCATTCTTGAAGGCTCTGGCACAGTATTTTACATTTTTTTTGGTTTAGCTGCTGTAATTGAGGGAGAAGCAGAGAGATTTTGGTAATTAGATTTTCTTTTATTTTCTTTTTCAGGTGGTTTCTCCACCTGTTGTGTGACTGCTGAGGTTGGCTCTGCGTTTATGAAGGGTCTGGCACAGTATTTTACATTTTTTTTTGGTTTAGCTGCTGTAATTGAGGGAGAAGCAGAGAGATTTTGGTAATTAGATTTTCCTTTTCAGGTGTTTTTTTCCACCTGATGTGTGACTGCTGAGGTTGGCTGTGCATTTCTGAAGAATCTGGCACAGTATTTTACATATTTTTTTGGTTTAGCTGCTGTAATTGAGGGAGAAGCAGAGAGATTTTGGTAATTGGATTTTCTGGTGTTTGCAGAGGTGCACCGTATCTGTTTAGCTTTGACCCGAGCCCTAATTAATTACTGAATAACCATTGGGGCAGTGCTGGGTGCTGGCACCTAATGAGGTGCTCAGGATGTGCCTCAGCACTTTCACAGCAGGAATCCTGCAGGGTGAGGTTTAATTCCCACAAGACATTCCAGGGCAGGAGTGGTGGTGTGCATTTGTTTATTTATTCAGGATGTGGGAAGAGCCCTTTGCTGGCAGCTCTGAGTGGGACAGGGCACCCCAAATCAGGGATCATCACCACTCTCTCCCTGCTGGATGTTTCTCCCCTGTGTGGAGTGTCAGGGGGAGAAAATGGAAGTTTTCCATTTTCAGTTCCAAGGAGATGCCTTTGGAAGCAATCCCTGGCCTTTCTGGTAACTTCAGGAATATTTGGGGCTTGTTTTTGTGTGGGAATTCTGTTTGTCTGAAGCAGTTGAGAGTTTGGGGAAAGAGCTTCAGTATCCATCATAAAATTCTGGAATGGTTTGAGTTGGGAGGAACCTCAAAGCCCATCCCCACACCTTCCACTATCCCTGGCCTTGGCCACTCCAGGAGCAGCCACAGCTCCTGTGGGAATTCATCCCAGCCTGTTCACACTCAGATTCATTTTCTGCATTTGTGCATTTACTGATACTTTGACTCCAAAATCTGAAATAATTTGTAGAACGTTTCCCCCAGATGGTCTGGGCATCCTTCTCCGTGCTGCCAGCAGTGTGGGTTCCCTCCAGTGTCCCGTGTGTGGGTTCCCTGGTTTGTTTTCCACTGGCAGAGATTGCTGCAGCCACTCAGAACCTGGAATTTAGCCAGTGCTTCAGCATCTCCTGCCTGCTTTTTCCCATCAGATTACTCATGGGATAGGGATAAAGGACTTTTGAATTGACTCTGCGTCCCCCCCCCACAAGGATGAACTGATGACCCGATGTGGGGTTTGGAATCATTCCCTGCCTGCTTGAAACAGAAGGGAAAGAAAATGTGTGTGTGAGAGAGAATTCGTATAATTCGAATTTCACACCCTCCTGAAATGACGTGACAGAGGGCAGAGCGCACCCCTGGGTGCTGGGATTGCCCCTGGTTGTTCCCAAGTGCAGGTGGCACAGCTGGGGGAGGTTTGCTCCAGTTTTCTGTCCCTTTTGAGCAGCATGTTTGGATGAAGAAGCAATAATTTGAGCCAGCCTCAGGGCAGGGAGTTGCCCAGCAGGGCACTTGAGCAGGCATTCTGTACCCAAATATTTCGTGTGGGTGGGTAGCACACAGCTAATGCGAGGAACAGATAAGGACGTGAAATCTGCTCTTATTTGTAGGGAAAAAAAAAAAGGAATAAAACAGGAACAAAAGGAGGAAATAGAAATTCTTCTATTTGAATGCAGCTCCAGCCTGGGATTCAGAGGGATGTGCTGGGCTGCATTGATGGGATGCAGGGATTTCTGCATCCCTGCACCTCTGGAGCACAGCTGGCTGAATCCCAGAATCCCTGAGGCTGGAAAAGCCCTCCAAGATCAGCGTCCAGCCTTTGATGATCACCTTGTCAGCAGCCCAGGCCCTGTCCAGTGCTCCTTGGCCCTTGCTGGGCTGAGACAAAGAGCCATTTGTTCCTCTGCAGCGGAGCTGCTGAATTTGATCCACAGTTATTGGTCGCCCTCTGCCAAGAGCAGAACATGGGGATGGGATGGGTTTGTGTCCCAGCCAGCCAGGAAAGCTCCTCGTGCTCCAAATGTCTGCTTGCAGCTCTCTTAACCACCATTTTCAGTGAGCTGAATTGTTTAATAAGTTGGTTTTTTAATCTTTGGAGGAAAACTGTGCGCTCTGGCTCTGAGGGATGCCCTTATTCCTGTGCCCCTCTTGTTTTCCTGACAGCGTCCAAAGAGGAGAATTGAGGTTGTTTGTCAAGTGAAGCTGCAACTCTCACTTAATTCCCCCATTTCCAGCCCCCGGAGCACAGGCGTTGCTAATTGGTTGTTTTTGAAGCACATTTTCTAAAAGTAACTCCTAACACACAGATAAGATCTCTGTTGTGTGCTGAAATGTGTTTACTGTGAGGAGCAAGGCCCTGAATTTGCCAGATTATTGTGGAAGGGACATGAGATAGTTAAACAGCATCTTAAAAACGCCTCTTGTTACAGCAAATGTCATTCCTAATTGCTGGGAGCTGTGTAGTTGTTCCAAAAAACATTTTAACTGGCTTAGGGGTCTTTACTTACCTGTAAGGGAAATTAAGCTGTTTTATTTTTTTTTATTTCCCCAATTGAAAGGATTAAAGAGGCTGTGAGCTCTCCTCCTGTGTAAAACCGGTCCAAATGGCACCAGGATCATCCTCCTGCAGTTTATTTGCTGTGCTTCAGCTCTCAGTGATACAAACACAGCGCTGGAAGTTGGATCTGAGCCAGAGAAATGAGATTTTTTTATTTATTTTGTTTTTTTTACCTGCAGCCTCCTGGAAGGAAAGAGGCACAGATCAGTCGTTATCCCTCAGAGGCAGCAGAATTCCAGCTCCATCAGAGCTTCCAGCGAGGCTCTCTTGATGGAGGGCTCACTTTAATTCCTTCATTTCTGTGCTCCACTGCCAGGATTTCTGTGAGCAGCAGGATTTCCCCCTCGGGGGTTGATTCCCACCCTGCCTCGCACTTCCCATGGATTTTCCTGTGGCTGTGAGCAATCCTGGTGCCTCAGACTCGGAGCCAGATCTTGCAGCTGAGCTGCCTAAAATCTTGAGGGTGCCTGCAGTTCAAGGTACAGCCATTAAACAATTAAACAATTCAGTGCACGAGAAGGCTGGGCTGCAAACCACCAAAGTTTTGCTTGGCAAGAATTTCTCCTTTTTCTCTATCAGCGAGCTGATCTCGTGCTCTGTGCAATTGCTATTATGGTTTATATGAAAGTCACGCTTTTACTGTCTTCTGTGTTTATTATTTTTTTGAAATGTACTTTGTGGGAGGAAGTTCAACAAAACACTAAATTCTCAACTCAGCTTTGAGTTCTCTGACTTCCGGCCCTGCAGCTTTTAATTGTGCAAGAACGGGGTGAAATATTGGCTCAGTGCTGGGGCTGAGCTGGAATTACAGCACATTTGGGGCTCTTTATTTGCATTTCCATGTGCTGGGCCTCACTTGAGCTTTCCACAGGCAAGAGTTTCTTTTGAGAGGGCTTTAAGCAACTGGGTAACTCCTAAAAAAACTGATTTATTCAGGTTTTCTTCAGCTCATTGCTGAATCTCCTCATGCTTGGAGCTGAGGTCACTGAGGTTCCAGGCCATGGATGTCCCAAGGTTCCAGGCCATGGATGTCCTGAGATTCCAGGACATGGGTGTCCCAAGATTCCAGGCCATGGATGTCCCAAAATTCCAGGCCATGGATGTCCCAAGTTTCCAGGTCCTGACAGGACATGGGTGTCCCAGAGTTCCAGGCCATGGATATCCCAGGATTCCAGGCCACGGATGTCCCAGGATTCCAGGTCCTGACAGGCCATGGATGTCCTGAGGTTCCAGGCCATGGATGAACAAGA